TGAAGGTTATTAATGAAGTAGCAATAAAGCTGCTGTCAAAATACTTTACAAATGAGTCGTGCTTTAAGTGGCAACGACGGCTAGAAAAAAAAGCAAGACTAATGCGTTTCTTGAAATTAGAAGTTGTCAACCTATCTAGAAAAAGGCCAGAGTGATTAACAGGTCAGAGTTAACCTGAGCTCGGCAGGTTTCGTTAGTGAATCAGTTACCAGCAAATAGTTCTGATGGGACGACTGATTTGATAACACAATTTCAACGGCCAACTGGAATCAATACATTTACATTTTTGCTGAGTGTGACAAGCAATGACTTCCGTCTCAACTTCAGAACTTCAATAATATTGTTCTCAGACTCAAAGGTCAATCCACTACAACTGTAAACCCAGCTCTCTCTTCAAAAAACAAACCCTGCGAATTCATCATTGGCATAAAAAAAACTCGCCCTCAGCTTCTCCACCATAAATTCTTCTAGTTCGTTGTCTGCCGATGTCTCTAGAATGAGCCGTCGCATTAGATGAGCCTTGTGAGCCTCCATGAAGAGATCCTTTGAGTTAACATACTTCAACACCAAGAGAATCTTCTTTAACCGCGTTAAGATCTCATCAGAGGAGAGGCGACGGCTGGTTGGCGATTTGCGCAACAACATATCGCAGAAGGCGGCCAAAAGATTTGGACACCGTGATTCTGGTCGCTTTACTGTCCCTCTAAAAATAGTCATTTGAGTTCAGACAAATACATACTACTGTGAATAGTAAAAAATAGAAAAAGCGTTCCCGATTTGAGATTCTATAAGCCCCATTTTAAACTCTCCTTTGTCGCACCTCATCTCGAGACTTTCGGAAAAAATTCAGCCCTCGTGTTTCCGTTGCAGCTTTCCTGATTGGCAAATTGCTGCGGCATATGCTGATACTCCCTTGTCCATTGGAAGACAACAGTGGGTGAGAGTTGGAACGCCTTGTGTACTCCAAGGTTGATACATACACCCCAAATCATAAAGGCAAAAACCACTACCCATTTACGTTTGAGTTTTGTGATCGGGATCGCATAGGGCTAACAGCAAGTAGCAATCCTTTGTGCCTAGATGTACACACAAAGGGCACATGACTCACTTCACGAGGGCTGTAACTTCAAGACTTTTCGATAGCTTGACCTCACAGACACCTTCAGCGACCCGTGATCTGGTTTCCTCACTATCAATGTGAAGTTATGTTATTTTATCCTATACTACTGACCTTTCGACCCT